AATTTAATTATGAATTTAATTATGAATTTAATTATGAATTTAATTATGAATTTAATTATGAATTTAATTATGAATTTAATTATGAATTTAATTATGAATTTAATTATGTAACTTTTATTTAACTACCGAATTACATGTAAAAAAGCCACGAATTATGTTCTAGGCTATTGTTGTAAACATTACTAATGGACATATGACTGCCATAAAACACACCATTCCAACGTTGTATAGATCCAGCGACTGTCATCTGGAAGTCCTATCGATTGCTCACAATATTCTCAATACTGTAGCCATCATTTAAATGAAGAATCCATGGATTTAATGATCAATTGATAGTTTAAGTGTCGATTTGTAATTGATTTGAATATCTATAATGGCTTTAAAACTGAGTCACAAGTGAGTGAATGATTTGAAATGAATTTGATATTAAAAGTGTTGTCTTTAATTCAATTCTTTATCCAAAAATACATAACTTTTAATTGAAATTCATTTGAATTACAAATAAAAACTAGACATTAGTTTACAAATCAATATAATCTAATGAAATGAATGGATAATAAAAACACACATAAAACCAATGAACGGATGAAATGCATGGCATGAATGGTAAGGTATGTCTCAATCATATTCTTCCGGCAAATATTCCTCCGTCTCTCTGATCGTCCCATTTGTCCGTCTGATCTATACATAAGCCATAAAAACAAATCAATTCATTCATTAGACATCAGTCCAATCAATCAATCGATGAGAGAGAGAGAGAGAGAGAGAGAGAGAGAGAGAGAGCTATGTATGAACTGATGGACAGGTAGACAAACCCAGGCTTTAGGGCAGAGCTGAGTATAGGCCCACTTATACCACCCGCAGAAGTCCTCGTCGTTGTCCTTGACTTTGAGGCATCGATGATAATCCAAATAGTTTTGGTAACAATTGCTGCCGACATATGTGAGACAATCAGTGGTTAAGTGGACACCCATTGGACACAAGACATGACAAACCGGGTCTGGTTTTGGTTGGGAAAGCGCGGGTCGTATGAAGTGGTCGTCAAGGCTTTGGCCACCTCTTCCTCAGTGATGTCACCGCCGGCGCCCACCTCCGGGTGTTTGGTCTTGTCTTTGGGTTTGGATCCGAAGCCTCCCATCACTTCCAGTGAATCCCAAGACTTGTAACGCAAACACAAACTGAGAGTCAAATGAAATACACAAACATTTGAAGAGTGACACACATTGTATAATACGATTATAAAGTCCTTATGATATAACACGAACAAGCGTTAAGTGCTTGAATGAGCATTATATCAAAAGGTACCTACAATGCGGCGGCTATTGCGCAATGCGAGCCCTTGTTTTGTGGGACGCATTGCCAGCGTTTACCGCACTTTCGAGCGCTATATGACTGACGGTTGCAATCGATCAAAGATTCGCGCGTTTAATCAGTGCTTACGCGAGTCGAGCGCGCAATGGATATCAGTATCGCCTGGTATTCAACGGTTTTGCTTAAACTTATGGGCCGTGTGTTGGGCTTACGATCGCCCGTTGGATATGTATTCAACTCTCGGACTATAAATAGCGTACGATTTGTGGCTATAATTGAGTTTCAATGGAGTTTAACATTGAATCTAATGAACCATAAAACTTGGTTCAATGTTAACAGGGTCACAAAATGTTATAATAATGTACTGTACCATAGAGTCAAATGTTAATCAAATGTATGACACCTATGAAAATGTTATCAATTTTTACGCTTAAAATAATTGTCTAGATAATTAGACACTGGAATGACCATGGTAATGCTTAAATGCTCCACACATATGAATTTAATTAGGATTACGGTTCAAAAAATAAAATTATAGTAAATTTACATGAATTATCAAGCAACTAGCCATAAAATTATCCATAATTACAAACTTTGATCAACTTTTCCCTCCCATTGAATAAAGTTATGAAAACTTTGTTAACATCACGAGATTTGCAGCAATTGTTTTATACAGTAATTTAAATGTTATTAATAAACTTATTATTTATAAAATCACTTAATATTAGCACTTAATCAACGGATTTATATAATTTTAACACAACAATTAGCTACCATTCCTTGTAATCCCTGTCCACTCGCATACCATTACAATGTCTTCAATTCTGTATCGAAATAACGGCACAAGAATTAGTCGAGTGTTGAGTCGTTTGAATACAAGCGTAAAGTTGGCCACAAATGCCCGGATTATCGGTAATCAAGGGCTCAGTCGTCACATACCGGTGCGCTCTAAGACCCGATGGGTGGCCTATAATAAAGGTTCACTGAAGGTGACGGTAAAGCCATTGAAAGTGACGGTAAAACTGAATGCAATCGACAGGAGAGACAAAAGGCATCGAAAGGCCATTGAATACGAGGTTTTCGACAAATCGTTTGCTTTGATCGAGAAGTACAGCAAAGAGAGTACTAATGGTTTGAGTAAACGATTTCAGAGGGACTACCGGCGCCGTAAGGCTCGCATGAATTGGCATAAAGTGTGGGGCCGGGAGCTGAACGATGGGAAGGGTATGGGCTATCAAAGAATTTCTAATATAATTTGTAATTTATATAATATATTAAAATATCGCATTATTTAACAGGTACAAATATTGCTGAAACGGCCACTAGCGCATATTTAATAGGACCTTGGGTGAAAAATAGTCCGACCCTAGGACCTCATGGATTGGCTGAGTATAGTGTAACAGTAAAAGAGGAGAAAATATTCAATTCATTCACAATTCGGCCCAAAATATGCACCGATTTGTCGCAATGTTTCGATGTCAACACCATTAAAATCACTCCGGACATTAAACAAACTTCACGTGTTTATACATTTAATTTTGACACGATAGTTGAATCAGACTATGTTAGGCTCATGTTTTTTGTCGACTACTTCAAGCCAGAAAATTTTATAAAAACTGACATCGTTGAGTTTTATATTAAGTTATTGAATTTTGGTGACCCAGGATATGGACCTACAGTACATATATTAGACTGTAGTAAATCTGGTATTTACACTGACCCTGCTGATCCCACCAAGGACCTACCAAATGTTTGCAGATGCTTACCTGCCCATTATGGTCCTAAATGTGAAATGCTAGATTATTGTGCTGATAAGGTAATTTAACTTTAAATTAATTAATAATCTATATAGAATAAAATTTTGAATTTGTTAAACTTTATAGCAACCCGGTAAACAATACTGTAAAAGTTTGGGTGATTTAGATTGCATCGAGGACCACGCTGAAAATTTTGCATGTGTTTGTAATATTGGTGACAAAGTTATATGGGATAGGTAATTTGTAGGCCCAAATAATTGCAGGTGTACAGGTACAAAACTACTGCATTAAATAGGTTTTATATGAAAGTAAAGTGTGTTCAGTATTGATAAGACAATCTTATGACTTATTTTGTATGAGATGTTTACAAAGTATTTCATGTGATTTGAAAGCATGTGTTAAGTGTATTAATGGTGTTGTGATTGGAAAGCAATTTATTATTTATTTTATTTGAATGTTTTAATTTATTTATTAAATCATAAAACAGTTTATTTTATCGAGTTTTTAAGTGACATTTAAATTGTTTTATATGTGAATAAAATAATTTATGATTATTAGAGTGACACTCATTTAGAGTCATACACTGACATTTAGACCATAAACAGTGGAAATAATGATAAGTGTTGAGTGTATTAATGGTGTTGTGATTGGAAAGCATTTTATCACTTATTTTACATCAGTCCTGAGCTAGAAGTGTTCACTTTTCCCATTAACAAACAATGTTACTCTTTTTTGTCATTTATAGGCTAAACTTTTGTCATTTAGCCTGTAGTAAACCATATTTTTAATAACATACACTTTT